TATATTTGTGCGTGTGTGTGTGTTTGTGTGTGCGTGTATGTGTATGTGTGTGTGTACGTGTGTGTATGTAGCTATGTATAGGCATATCCTTTTGGATGTTTCTGTTTATGTTTATATAAACATACATTTATTTATTTATTGATATGTTTATCCATATATGTTGATGCAAGTACTGCAAGTAATTACATTTCGAGAGGTGTCCTACAGGAAAATTATGTTCAAGTTATCGTGAATGATATGTTCATACATCCGTTCGTTCAATTTCACGTACTTGTATACGTGATATTCGTTGTTTTTTTTACGTGTGGTTTTCTTATGGACACATATTTTTATGTGCGTAAATCTATTATGATATGAGTTAATTTGGCGTCTTTCATCGTATATAAGTATGAAATGTTACACCGAGGACATGTAGATAATAACCTCGAGTATGCATGTCTGAAACAAGCGTTTGTATTTTTTCATTGTGAAATTCTATATCGGGTCTTTAATCGTGATTAATAACAAATCAGTGATTTTATTTATATCGATTAATTTTATATAAATTTATATAAAGTAGATATAGACACGTCTATGAATTCGTTTGTCCGTAAGTTTGTCCGTAGTTTCCGTTTGGCCTACACATCCATCCAGGCGTGTGGTTAAGCATACGCATACCAGTATTTTTCTCTACTACCTACGTACGTGTATCACTTTTACATACAACCTGATGCTGTGTATGCACTTCAATCAAACTTTTATTGAGAACTGATGGTACGGGTATGCGAGCACAAGCTAGCACCTCACCATCAATAAACCGACCCAATTTCACACGTCGATTGCACTTTGCTGTCTCATACCATATGTATTACGTTAGTATCTTGAGTCGTGCAAGCTTGTATGCGGAAGGCTGTTACTTTGAATAGGGCTCGCATTCACAGAGCCACACGAACGAACACTAATCACAACTTCTGTGAGCACTGGCTATGGTCAAATACAAATACAAGTCGGTACAACCTGTGCAGCGAACCCGCAAAAACTCCTACTGTTCTTCAGATTCTGATATAAATCCGTATTGTTTTCGTTTCTTATTCATGTATTGCCAGTCTGACAATCAGCAGACTTATACCGAACAAATGCCGGCAAGGAGGGTCACCAGTCCCCACCAAACTCCCATCCCAGTTGCGTTGCCTGTTCGAGGAAATACCTTGGCCGGCTTACCACAATATGATGATGGTATGTGCTTCACAGATGAAAGTTTTGACTGACGTAGATACTCAAGATATTGCGAGGCGTAAAATGACTTAGTTGTAGTTATAGATGTAGGGTATGTTGTGCTTTGACAGCAATATTCAGAACTTTACAAGAATAAAACACATCATTTTAGGATGAGACGAGTAATAAAATAGGTAGGAAAATCAGGTAGCTATCAAAAGTGCAGGGGGTGTTAAATAAAGCTAAGCAGTGAGATAATCAAATCTAAACCTTTGTAATACATTTCACCCGTGGCTACCCTCTAGTTCGCTCTCAAAGACGAACTTATTCACACTCCCTTTGTAGCAGCCGATCTAATCCCCTCCCAAGTGTTCCCAGTGTTTTCTATTTAGCTGCCATAATATTCTTGGGTGAATACAGTTGATTTATTGACCTCCAACCATCGAACCCACTCATAGGCGCTGACTCAGTGGAGAAGGCATTGGCGTGGGATCAGGAATGTGTGACAACACCGCTGTCACCCGCTGCACCCCAACGAAAGCCGGTGAGCGGCTTAAACAGTTCAAGGCCATTCAGAAAAAGGTCTGTGCCCGAGGGTGTAGATATGGCCGAAGTAGTAGCACAGACACAGGAGAATATACGCATGCTACGTAAGGAGATAGAGGAGCTCACACTGGAGCTGATGAATTCTAAAAGAGCCAGTGCGAGTGGCAAGCAGACACAGAGAGATGGGGAGAGTGAGGTGCAGCTGACGCAGATGGCTGTTGGCGAGGCCTAGATTGTGTCATCAGGAGTAATGAATTTGTTGACGAAAGCCATGATACCGTGTATATAT